TGGCACAATTAACTAACTCAGGTAGCCACTTGACAACCTAGCCGTTTGTCCTGCAGCAGTAGATTGTGTGTTGTTCTGATGCTCCAGTGTTACCGGCGTGTCAAAAGGCAGCAGGGTCCCTTATGGTGGGTAGATTTCAGGAGCACTTCCAGAATGAGAATGACTAGCGAGAAAGACGTGGCGATCTAGTTCTGGAAAGTCATTAATGGAAACAACAGACTACTGTATGAGGCGGTTTGGGCAGATGCAGTACACAACAGTTGCAACAGTGGGCATTGTTGGTCTGAGTTACTTCTGAGTCTGTTCCTACCTCTGGCAGTCCTCTATGCAGACGCGAAGTGCTCCATAATGTTTTCAGGGCTGGGACCTGTCAGAAGCCAGGTGCCAGCCCTATCTGTAGAGGCCTGAGGGTGGCTTCATACCATCAACCTTCTAGCTATCAGTTAAGTGCTGTTAGAGTTTGGTACCACCAAGAAACCAAACCCCAAACTCACTGCCATCAAGTCTATGCGGACTCACAGTGACCCTACAGGACAGCATAGAACTGCCCTGTGCGTTTCCAAAACTCTAACTCTTTACAGGAATAGAAAGCCTCATCTTTCTCCCATGGAGCCAGTTGGTGGCTTTGAACTGCAGACCTTTCAGCTACTATGAACTACAAAATGCCAAAGATCATCTTAAGGGTACAGGATTGACACTCTTTAGATTAAAATGTGTGTGTGTAAAGGTGTTGTTTTGTCAAATCTCAGAACCTGTGTCTGTGTCAGTGTCTAGTTATGTATACAGAAGAAAACAGATCTGAGATGGTAACAGGTCTGTGATGGTAACAGATCTCTGATGGTTACAGATCTCTGATGGGAACAGTGTACACACTAGTGGTAGGTGAAAGGCTGTTTCTTGTGTTTTGTAGATTTGGGTGGGTTCCAAAAAAACAAAATCTTTACAGGAAACAAGAAGTGCAATGTACCAACCACTGTGCTCAGCGTTCCTGTATGGAGAGAGCCTGGTGGTGCCAAACCAAACTCACTGCCATCAAGTCAACTCCAACTCAAAGCCACACCTCACCGTCGTTCGGATGGTAGAGCTTCCCTGTGGGTTTGCAAGGCTGTAGCTCCTTAGGGGCACAGAAAGCCCCATATTCTCCCTGGGAGCCACTGGGCGGTTTAAACCACTGATCCTGCAGTTAGCACCCCACCGTGTAACCCACTGCATCATGAGGGTGGGGTTAGAAATAGACAAGCCAGGGCTCAAATCAGGTCCTTCAGGCCCTAGCCGTGTGAGATCAGGCAACTTTCTTGACTTGTACTCGGTGTTCGCTGGTTTGGTGTTTCAGCTGTGAACTATTGCAGGCTGAGTTTCAGCACCCGCTTCAGGAGGGCTGGAGGCATGAGACCATTTTAGATAGTGCACGGATGAGCATTTTACATTTCAAAAGTTATTTATTTTAATGAGTATTAGTGGGGGGAGGATATAAATAACAGCTCCATCCTATGACTTCGTAGATATTTTGGCATGGGTGGTCATACTGAAAACAATCTTTTAAACCTCAGCATATGCATCTTTTAAGACAGCATTGACCCACGGCAAACCGAGTCAGGAGGGTTAGGGAGGAAGGTGGCACAGCAACAGGAAATGGGACACATGTGTTCCAGCGAGAGAGCAGCAAACTGGGTGAGCGAGGACAGGTGGACGGAAACCCCATGGACTGCTCTGCAGCCCTTCATCCCGTCCACCACCCAAAGTCACAGCTAGTAAATCGATGCGAGAGATGCGAGCACATTTGGAAGAACTAGCACATGACAACAGAGAGGAGACACGGATCCGGTAAAGATGTCAAACGTGGGACCAAAGAGACTGTCGTTGCCTCGGAGTGTTTGCTGAGCCTCGCAGCGCTGTAGTTTTCTCACCTGCAGAAGCTCCCAGGTGGTGATGAGGATGATGAGTTGATACCCGGAGCTATTATCAGCTCAATAGTAGTCACTCACGTAGATGAGTTTCCTTCCCATTGCCCTAGCCTTTTCAAGCCGCGTAAGTCTCTGAGCTCAGCCTAGCCAACTTCCAGGTGAGGCAAATGAACGTAGGGCAGGGAACAGGTCCTGAGGTCCTGTGTCTTTCATGCCACTGGGCTGTCCCTGGCAGCAGCTGAGCCCAGGCATCAATGATGCTTGCTGAAAGGGTCCAAAGGGATGGGAACGACTATGGTCAAGGTGCAGCACTGGGCCGTTGAACTTTGCTCTAGGTGATCATTTTAATACAACATCGTGATAGCCCGTGCCTTAAAACCAAGACAACAAAGCCTAAAGCCTACCTGTCACCCACGGCTGTCAAGTCAGCCTCTACAGCTAGTGACCCTGTGGAAGGTTTCTGAGACGGTCAATCTGTGTGGGCACAGACAGCCTTCTCTTTCTCCCCCTGAGTGGCTAGTACGTTTGAACCACTGATCCTGCTGTTAGCATCCCAACACCGAAACCAAAGTGCCACCCGGACCTCTTAGAGTGTAGAGGAGAAAAAAATGAGAGAGAGAGAGAGAGAGTAAAAATACTGGGTGTGAATGTGTTGAGACCTTGATGCTTTTCTTTGTTGCATGTCTCCTGGTATTGTTAATGAATTAATATATAATGTATTACATATTTTTAATATTTTATATCATTTTAATATATATGATCACTATATATGTAGATAGGTAATAAAAATCCATGTGATCCTCTCTAACTATATTTCAAGCAAATGGTGTCCAACCCTTGATACAAAAAGCTGATATAGAAAGTAAATTTATATCTGCATATCTTTATCTATGTGCATCTATATGCCAAGATCATAACTAAAACTATAGATGATGACATGGACTTTTGATTATGATTCATAAGCTGTGAAATAGTTCTTTCCCAGCCCCAGACCACTTTTTCCTGTTTAAGTCAGGTTACAGGTAGTTGTCACCCCGGAGTAAAGTATAAGACTATGATACATTTGGGCCCAGACAACTCAGGGGATCAATTGTGCTTGTCTTCTTGTTTTACAGATGGAGAAACTGAGCAGCAGAGAGGGCTAGTGGCCACTGCGATACTCTGCCAGTAGGTAAGTGATGTGCTAAAGTGGACCTAAAATCACACAGGCTTTTAGTACCCATGGCCAGATCTCTCCGGGCGCACTGTCCCAGCCTTGCAACTTTTCTGATCTGTGCAGTTCAAGCCGGGGGTGTGGGGTGTGGTGGGGAGTGGGGGTGGCATGTGTTGCTTTGAAACATTTGGATGTGATTTGCACTTGTGGTTTATGGTTATTCCCATTGTTGAGCTGGAATGTTGAATGGGCGTGTTTGTGAAGGCCTCTTCGGCAGTGAGTTCTTCCCTGGGAACAATTAAAACCTAGCCCGCTCTGCGGCCGGCTGAGGCAAACTCTTCAGTAGATTCAACCGGTGCATTCGGAACAGAGAGCCCTAGACTTGAGTGTCAAAGTATTTGTGTCTTGAAATCCCACAGGAACCTGCTTTGTGACCTTGAACACCCATGGCCTGGACTCATAGGTTTACTCTTTGCTCATCCATTCCTTCAAACTGGTTTCCCCCTGCATACTTGGTTCTATTCTCTGTGCTGGGCACCCACTGGGCATTTAACAAAAAGCAGGTCCATCCAAAATAGACTTTACTATTGGGAAGCTCATACCCCAATCAGTAAGCGCTTCTGTTTCCTGATGATGATTTCACCAGGAGAATTTCTAGCTGATGCTTTGAGTTTAACATTTGACCAGGACCTGGCATTTCTGTGATCTGCTCCCCAAGTCCCTAAGTGGAGAAAGTCGTGAGGACCACTTTTGCTCAGAGCGATGGCCCCAACTGTGCACTGAGGTGAGCGTCCCAGCTGTCTCTGGAATCTAGACCTAGTCAGTCCAGAGCCTTAGTTTCTCGTAGGAGCAAATGCCTCTCGCCATCAATTTTCATGTTCATCGTGGCCTCCGAGCAGTGGGCATCATGGAGGGTGACCAAGGTAGTCGATGCGAGGATCCTGCTTGTTCCAGGAAGCAGTGCTTTTTCTGCTGGGAATGAAGGCAGCCGGTGCCTCCAAGAAAGCAGACAATCACAGGGAACTATGCCCCAGGCCCAGCTTGTCTCCTCCTGGTAGCTGGGATTTAGCCTATCAGAGCGAATCCACCGCGGGGCCATGCAGCACAACCCCCTTTGACGAGGTGACCCTGTAAAGGAAAGACTGCTTCCTATCAAAGCTTTGTGTTCCTGAACTCTAAAGACAAGCCTGGCAGCTTCTGCTTTTGCAAGTTGCCTTGCCTTGGGCGAGACACTGCGAGTGCTCTGGATCAGAGGCAGTGCTGTTTGTTTGGTCTGGGCAACAACTTCTTGAGGCTGAAACTCCTGAGCTCGCTTAAAGTTTGCCACTTCGAAGGGTGAATTAATAGCATCAGGACTAGGCCTGGTTTGGCTGCTCCTTGGAAGGTGCGCGTTGTCAATCCTTGACGTAGACACACCTGTGTACATGGTGCATGGGGCTTGTGGGGAGCATGTGTGTGCCTGTATGGGGTGCAGGTTTTCTAAGGAGTGGATTTGTATCTGTGGGGTGTGACTCTCAGGGGAGTGTACGTATGTGTGTGTGTTTAATGCCTTAGGAGGCGAGTCTTAGGAGAAAAAGAAAACACTTAAGGGTGTAATTTTTCAACAGGACCCAGAAATGGGCTTTTAATAAGCGTCATTAAACTCTTTGATTACAAGGGGAGGCCAGTCATCCTTTCATCCTGGCCCGGATCACCCAGTCCTCCTTTGCCCTCTTCTTTCGGATCAGATAAAAGCTATTTGTCCTGATCTCACCAAAGCCCTTTCTCCCCCTTTGGCCCTCCCTACCGCCACCCCCACCCTGGCCCTTGTCTGATCTCCTTGCTTGGATCTGGACACAGACAGGGCTGGTGTCAGCATTGACAGACGATAGCGCCAGGAGCGCCTGCAATCTGAGCATTCTGCGTCCTGTGTTGTCCCAGCAGGAAACTTTGGGGTCTTTGTTTAGGAGGTGCTCTAAGCTAAGAGGGTGGGGGGGGTGTCAGAGGGGATTGTGGGGGTGGTCCTCCCTTTCCTGGCGGGTCACTTACAGCCACCAACGCCTCGCTAGACAGTGTGTGCGCTTTATGGATTAGGCTTCTCCTTGTTTGAGTGGGAGGAGCTGAAGCTGTGTTGAAAGGGAGGTTTCACTAGAGATGGGAAACATGCTGCCAGGTCTCCTAAGGAGAGTGGGTTCCCAGAGTGATTATCTTTCCTGAGCCAGCAAGAGGGAGGGGACTCCAGGACAGGAAGCTTCCAGGCTAGCAACAAACTTCTCAGGCAGTGCTACAAGACACCCATTCCTGTCAACAGGTCTGGCTTTGCAAGAGCTGGTTCTCCTCTGCTCTGCGGCTGGTGCGCTCTGCTTTGCACACTCCTTCTCGCAGGCAACGTGCCCTGAGGCTTGGAGCTCTGCCTGCATCTTCCTTGTGCACGCTCACAGTGCCCTGTGAGAGGCTGGGGGTACAGGCCTGGGGCCCAGCCAGTGTCTGTGGTCTGTTCGGAGCCCCTGGCTCCTGCGAGAGGATGGCCTGGCCTTGCAGACTCGAACAGGCCTGCATGTGAGTCCTCGACGGGTCTGTTTCTGCACTCCCCTACTCACAGCTCCATGAAGGCTGTTGCAAACTGCTGCTGAGCTTCCTCCGATAAGGTCTCCTAGTCGAGGAGCAAGTGGGAGCTAAAAGCCAGCCCCTTTTCTAAGCAAACCAAACTCAGGTGAGGGCAGCAAGGAGGCTGGTGGCTCCTCGTCTCCTCCAGCTGCAATCCCTTCCTCTTTTAGGTCCGTAGCTGTAGGGAGGTTGCGAGATCACCCTTGAAGTACATGTGCCATCGAGTGGATCCCAACTTATCTTGACGAAGACAGGGTAGAACTGTCCCTATGGGTTCTTGTGGGGTTAAGGGTAAGAGGGAACCCCACAAAACATCACAGGCTTGGTAGGCGCAATTGTACAGCGATAATAAGTAGAGATTATAGTAAAGTCATAGAGAGCATGAGAGTTAAAGGATAGAGTCAAATAATGGAGTCAGACGCAATTCATGGTAGCATAGCTCACCTCCACCCGGCTTGATGGTCCTCGTGGAGGGGGCTTAGCTGTCAGACAAGAAGCCGCTGCTTCGTCCTCCTTAGTCACCTTCTCCAGCCACCCACTGGCCAGCCACCCTCCTGAGAACCAGGGAGCCTCCTTATTTATTGCTAACCACGCATCATAGAGTCATACATCACAGAAAGGGGCAATACAATTCATTCTAGAACAAGTTTGATCACTCTAATGTCTCACATAATAAAACAGACAATTACTATTCTGGGAGGCATGCAAGTTCCCTGATAGTGGACAATAACCTGAGTCACCAGGAGGGATATTAACATAGGCAATACAATCAATAGGAGAGGAATCACCTAGGGGTGTGTCCACATTGGTTGTGGAATAGACAGTGGTGTCTGCTTGATCTAGACAGCTGATAATGGCTAACTAACCTTGGTCACCCTTGGGCGGGTTTGCCCTCTCTGGTATCTCCTGCAAGTGAACAAGACCACCATTATCCTTATCAGAAGGGAGTGGGTCTTATTTAGGGTGAGTCAGACTAATAGTCTAGCCACTATATATGGCTGATGTTAAGGAGAATAACCTCTGACCTACCTTCGCTGATCACCTATTGTACAGTCACTCTTAAGCAGCTAAGTTTGGTACATATTTTGGGGAGACAACTTAAGCGAAATCCTTCTGTTCCCCACAGGTTCTGGAGACTGCGACTCTCTAAAGGGGCAGGAAGTCTCATCTTTCTCCTTCAGAGAAGCTGGTGGTTTCAAACTGTTGCCCTTGCGGTTAGCAGCCCACTGCGGAACCCACTACCCACCCGGGCTCCTTCTACTATTTAACACTAGCAGTGACAGTAGTAATAGTCACAGTCATAATAGTAGGCTTAGTGATGATGCTAGGAATGACACTGTCTTATTTTGGCAGTATGTCCTATTTCTGATGGATCTTTCCGGTTTGCTTCTCTCAGCAGGCCCGCCTGAGCTGCAGGGTTAGGACTAGTCTCCCTGTTGGACAGCTAAGGAAAATGGGACACAGAGAAAGATAGTGGGGCTTGCCTCCTGGCAGCCCTCGGAAGGCCTCGCCTATCTTGGGGCCAGTATGAACCATCCTGACCAGACATGTGTCCAAGGGCTGGGAATGCAAGACTGGGGTCTCCAGGGAGAGCACAGAGCACCAGACTGTACCTGGAGCATGACCCTTCTTCTGCCCACATTCCATCAACATCTGACCCTGGACCCTGATGGAAACACGCCTATTTGGAACATCCTGCAATGACTCCTGCTGGTCCCTGTGGCTCTATCACTGACTCAGATCTGACTCCCAAGTAGATCAGAAACCAGGCACCTCAGTCCTTGGTGGAGCTAAGGCCACACTGACCCTGCAGTTTACACAGAGCTTTTAGGGCTTACTCCACCCCTCTGAGTAGGCCCATTAAGTACCTACTATGTATAGGTACTTAATCAAGCTTAAGGAGCCCTGATGGGTAAGATTGGAATGTTACCTGCACGGTCAGTGGTTCAACCCCATCAGCCATTCCGAGAGAAAATCTGCTTCTATAAAGATTTAGTCTTATAAACCCTATAAAGTGTTGCTGTGGGTCAGAATGGACTCATTGGCAGTGGGTTTGACGTGGTAATGTTTAAGGCACTGTGGGAACATCTTGTGCATACTTGCCTCCCTAATTTTCATATCTGCTTTTCGGATGAGTTACTAAGTTTCAAAGAAGTTCATTGACATGTCCCAAATGACACACCTATATGTTCCCAAGATGATATGAGTATCTAGTGATAAAAGCTGGGGTTTGAACGAGTCCGCTTGGACAAAAGCTTGTAAGCTGATGCTCCTGACTTCTACCAGCTGCAGCGCACAGTGAGAGTTCTTTTCAAAGCCGTCAGTCCTGAGGCCCTCACTGCACGCATCCTCATGGTTGCTTCTCCTGGGTTTCGTTTCCACTGCGCTGCTAAGTTTCTCGAGGGCAGACACTGGAATCTTCAGCCAGGGTC